CTGTTCTTTTAGATATTTACATAGTTGATCCCTGTTAATGGATTTTCTTGTTGTCAAAGTTGCTTCTCTGTTGGTATTTTGTGTTTCACAAAAGTTTTGGCAACTTATTTTGTTGTTTATTTTTTGCTACAATCCCTCCGATTTATGTATTAAAAAATGACGTGGTTTACTACATTGTTCATGTTTTTTCTGCTGTTAGTATCCTGTACTTGTCTGGTTGATTGCTGCAAATCTCTATTTATGTTTCTTGGAAATGAAAAAAAAAGGTCTCTTATTAGGCCTCATTGAATTGTGATACTAGTATTTTAGAAGCAGAAAACCTTAATAGAAAAGGGAATAAGATTAGAAAGCAGAAAAAAAAAGATGAAGGAAGAAAATTCTTTCTAGAGGAAAAGATGTTGGGTAACTTATATGGGTGAAAGTGTCTAGATTCCTTCATATTTACCAGGGGAGAAGTCTTATCCCCTTTTCCCTCATATCTATCAGTTCTTTATTGACAATGCCCTCATACAGCTTCAGGTTATGGTTCCATTATTCCCGATGTTGAAGAAGCGGAATCACATCCCTTGACAAAGGCATTGGGTGAAAAAGTTGGAAATTACGTGGAGCAGTATATAGAAGCCATGGAGAAGGTGACTCATCCGCCACGGGTTCTCTCAGTTTTAGTAAACTAGAAGTCATGTGATCTTATTTTATAAGTAAAGAAAAATAAAAAAAGAAAGAAAAAAAATGAAGCCATGATAATAAAGTGACTCATCCGCAACGGGTGACGTTTTCTTGCATCTGATTCTATCTTGATTGGTGCTCTTATTTCCTATGTTTGATAACCTGTATCTGTTGCAATTCGACTAGGTTAAATTAAAGCAAGGCTTGAAGGTTGCGATGTCTATTTCTGGTGAAGGAAATGGTTATCTGCAGGTAATCCTGTCAAATACTTTCCAGCTATCTGTTTTTTGATCAATAACTGCTATGCGATGGACTTTCTCATTTTAGATTAACTAGCTGAATTATCGAGCCAAAAAAAAAAAAAAAAAAAAAAAAAAAAAAAAAATTAGCTGAAATTTTGAACTTTTCATGTGACAAAGGTAATGACCTGTGGGTATTCTATTCTTATGGTTTCTGATCTCAAATTGTTGAGGCTCATCACATTGTATTTCTTTCTGTAGGAAAGCCAGTTTTGGAAACTTTACAAGGAAGACAGGCGTTCGTGTTCCATAGTGATGAGAACTGCTTGTGGTCTAGTCTATCTTCTGGCATGTCTTTTAGAGCCATTTATGCCACCTTTTTCACATGAGGTAGTGTTTCTGTTGCCATCATTGCAAACTTGAACTTTGTGTGATGCCATCTGTCTGTGCTTAGGTGTTTGATGCTTTTCCCTCTTGATTCACAGGTGCTTAAGCAGCTCAACTTGCCTCCTGAAACACAACTTTCACTGGCTGATGAAAAAGGTGACGTTGCAAATAGTAAAAGACCATGGAACATTATACCTGCAGGTCACAAAATTGGAACACCAGCACCATTGTTCAAGGAGCTGGTAATGCATTTCGGTCTGTTTTTACTGCATGTTTATTCATTCTTTCATTCGTTGGCTGGTTTATAATTGTTGTTGATGATAATATACAGAAAGATGAAGAAGTTGAATTCTACAGAGAGAAGTTTGCAGGAAGTCAGTCAGATAGGGCAGATAGGGCTCTGAAGGCAGAAACTGATGCCAAAAAGATGGCTGAACAACTGAACAAAACAAAAATATCAGGTTGGAATTTTTTCTTTTTCCATATTTTTTGACTTGATGTGATGAGTTTATTTATTTCTACGACAGTGATATGAAGAGTTTAAGGAGCCTTGTAGTTTCTTTAGGCATAAATTTGTTAGCACTTGCTTTGATCCTCCTCGAGGCACTTCTCGACTGTGCCTATTGACCACCTCTCTTTTGATCCTCTTGTTTTCTTAATACCAGACCTGTAATTCCTTATTGTCTGTGAAGATTTCTGTTTACTTCCAAAGACTTAAGATTTCAAGATATATACAGATACCTTTTGCTTTAGAGACAAGTAAATCATCTATGCTTATGCATCTTCCTTGGGATCCTGTCAGATTCCTATCAAAGTTCTACCTCAAGTCTGCCATGGTTGATGGCTGCAGTTTAGTTCTATTCTTGCATGAGAATCATATGGATTATGGCTTGCTTTGATTTTTCTATTTTGTGTATCAGATGGTAATAAGAAGAAGGAACGTGCAAAAAAATCTTCTGAAACCAAATCTAAGGCCCCAGCCACTGTCGAAGGAGAAGTTTCCATTAGTAGACTTGACATTCGCGTTGGTCTCATAACAAAGGCACAAAAACATCCTAATGCCGATTCATTGTACGTGGAAGAGATTGATGTTGGTGAAGCTCTGCCTAGAACTGTTGTTAGTGGCCTTGTAAATTTTATTCCACTTGAGGATATGCAGGTTTGGCTTCTCCACCTTTTGCAAGTATCAAATATAAAATGAGCTGGTGAATTTATTCTCAGTGACATTTCCTTTTCAGAATCGGAAGGTCTGCGTTCTATGCAACCTAAAACCAGTTAGCATGAGGGGGATAAAGTCCCTGGCAATGGTTCTTGCTGCTTCTAATAGTGATCACACTAAGGTAAACTGTGATCTGTGCTTATCTCTCTGTCCATGTTATCTTGGTAAAATTGCTATGTACCTTAAAATATGTTTGTGGTTTTGAATACATTTTACTTGCTTAATACTGAAATAATGTCTACTGGCTAACATACTTTTCAAATGGAAAAGTCGAGTTAAGTAAGCAAGAGCAAAACTTGGAAAGGAATCCGACAGAATGTTGGAAGGGAGAAAGGAAAAAGAAGCTAAGGACGTCTACTTTCTTGCTTTGTTGTGTTTCACTAGGTAGAAACATCGAAAAGTGTTCCCTTGCAACAACTGGTATATAAATAGCCAAATATATTTGTGATTGTAGTCAACAATAGTATTGTAGAACAGGCTTTATATGACTGACATCTACAATGTACTAATCCACTCCCCGATATTATATTTTTCATTGTGTTTTATTAATATGGACTTTCTGATCATTTATATGGATATTTGATGCAACGTCAGGTTGAATTAGTTGAGCCACCTAAAGATGCTGCAATTGGAGAACGAGTCACATTCCCCGGGTTTGATGGCAAACCTGATGATGTCTTGAACAATAAGAAAAAGGTTTGGGAAACTGTTCAGTTGGATCTGCATACAAATATGGAGTTGGTTGCCTGCTATAAAGATTTGCCTTTCACTACATCATCTGGTATTTGCAAAGTTGCATCCATTTCTGAAGGATCAATTGGGTAAGCTGATTCTTTTGTTCATTTATTAGGAAAAAGGAATGTAATACCTTGCTTTTAAAGTGTTTCTTGTTTAGTGCTCTGATAGTAAACAAACTTACTGTTGTCAATTGTTGGCAATATTACCAATTACCATAGTTGCTAAAGTTTTGAATTGATTAATACTGGCATCTCGCGACTTTTTCCTTTCCCTCGTTGTGTATTTGTTTCTCCTTTGCAAACGCGAAATTGCACGTCAAAATCAATCATCTCAGACAGCACTAGCTAGAAGCACAATTTTCATTTCTGAAATTTAAAATATTTCAATTTTGGAACAAGGATCTTTCTGCTCTATATTAAAGAAAATTAGAAATATATTCTTAATCTGCACCGATTGTTATAAAAGAATGGTGTATGAAATGGCACTCCACACTTGTAAAAGACTATTTTAAGGAACCTTTTTTGGGTAAAAAAAGACTATCTAAGGAACTAAAGCTCTTGAGTAAGCATGATTACCCGCTAAGGGCTCCTGAGTAAGGCCCTTAGCGAAATATTGTTCATCTTTTTTACCCTTAAAGATTAGATTTCACATTAGACAAAATAGTAATTTAATTATTTTGCAAATATTTAGGAATTCTAAATCAACTAAATTTTGTGCATTATTTCCCTAATATTTAGGAGTTCCAAATCAACTAAAATTGTATATATTAAATATTCCTTGTTTAAACTTCTATGTGATGAGGCCTAACGTATGCTATAAGCATGAAAAAAACTAAACAAAACATTTCCTTTTTTTAGAAAAAGAAAATTTACGGCTTAGAATAGGTAGTAGATTGTTGTTGGCCAATGAAAAGTATCATTTTTATGTCCTAATTTTAGTATAAAAATATTCAAAGTACTTTCAAATATTTTTTCTATCTATATTTATTTTTACGAAAGTAAGAAAAAAAAGCTCAAACAATTAATATTCTTTAATTACAATTAGTGCAAAAAAAGTTTAAGCAAATTTGTAATTATAGATAATATTTTAGAACATTATTTTATGTATGTTTCATTAGGACTAAGCATGAAAACCTAATCAAAGTTAACGGTATAACACTAGAGAAGTAAATGAATTTGAGTGGATTTTATTTTCTAATTTCTCATGTTATTCAATGAGAATACACGTTATACCTACTTTTGAAATTCTAATTACAATTAAATTCTAGCTTTCTAGATATTGTTTTTGTATAATATTTGAAAAGTACACTGGTTAATAAAAAGATAAATTACTAAAAAGATATTTAATAATATAAAAGATCTATCAACTCAAAATTCTAAAAGTGCAATATTAGATTAAGACAATCTAATATTGTTCCTATTCTTTTTTATTTTTCTATCTCCTAAATCTTTTCAATGTTTCTTGATTTTTTTATTTTGAGAATGAAAAAGAAGGAAGGGGAGTGTTGGCGTAACTGGTAAAGTTGTTGCCATATGACGAGGAGGTCACGGGTTCGAGCCATGAAAATACCCTCTTGCAGAAATGTAAGATAAAGCTGCGTACAATAGACCCTTGTGGTTCGACCCTTTCCCGGATTTCGCACATAATGGAAGTTTAGTGCATCAGGCTGCCTTTTTTAGAATGAAAAAGAAAAAAAAGAAGAGAACTAGCATATAGTTGAAGGGAAGAGAAAAAGAAGAAGAAGCCAATAATGGAGTAAATTGTTGGTATATTTTCATTTATCATTGAAAATTTATTTGTTTGTACAAACAAAACTTGGGATTAAGGAAAAAACAAAAGTACATACACAGTAATACAAAATGTTACAAGAAACAATCTTCATGTAGTGATTTATATATATAGTAGTTTTGACTTTTGTATTCTCTTCTTTCTCATAATTTTTTGTAGGTGAACTCTCTTATCTTCTCTGGAAGTTGAGTGCCTTAATAGCCAATGCAAATATGACGGCAAACATAACAGGCAATGCAACGATAACAGCTGCAACCACTCCAAGAAAATCATGCTCAAATCCAAAGTAACGACTCAAGAATTGCTTCACATTTTCATTATTGCCAAGATCGTTTTGCAGGTCAGCGAATTGTGATGCAACAAGACCATACAAAGTCCATGCAACGGGGCATGCCCAGTAGTACCATCTCCACCATATTGGAATACGCTGTTTTTAACAAAAAAGGAACGATAACATGTCATTTTTCGAGATTCAGATTAATTTACGTGGATAAAAATTGATCAAGTTGAAAGATTTTCAAGAACTTACAGGTCGTGGAACGATGAATCCTGAGAAAAGATTCCATACTGCATAGAAGAAGGCCGCGACAACGGAAGCAACGTTTTGATTCGGAGTAATAGCCACGGTCATCATACCATAGAAGGTGAAGTACAAGAGAGTGAAGTACATGAAGAAGAAGTACCAAAAGAACTTGGCAGCAGTCCATTCAAATCCGATCATCGCATACACAATGATACCATAGAAAGCAGCTTGTACAAATACATAAGGTAGCTCAACAATAACCTGCAAGAAAAATAAAGTTTTCATGGATTAATATGAATTCATTTTTAAGGCTGAAATGTGTACATATTGTGACAAAATTGAACTATCTGTTCACCTGTCCAATGGCATAAGGTATGGCTGAATACATTCCAGCAGCTCTTTCTCTATAAAATACAGTACGCTCAACGGCTACAACAGGCTGGACCGACGATGAATTTTGTACACCAAGGAAAAGACACGCAGCATACATTGATCCCATAGCGTTGAAAAGATCCTGGCTCCGACTCCTGTGATCAATAAAGCTCGAATAGTTTAGTTTAAGTACTATACAAAGTTCTATTTACTTCACATTATGACTTGTACTTACACTTTGGTGCCAAGATCCCAGAACATTGTGCCAAAGACAAGCGCTATGAATAATGTGAAAATGAATCTAACTGCAGTATAGGATGGATTACGCCAGTACGACCAATATTGCTTCCAGAGACAAGCCATACATTGGGTCCAGAAAGGCTGTGAAAATTGAGTTTCAAAATGCAGATCCTTTGTACCAGGACGAGGCGTACTTAATTCAGCTATCAACAATTTATTCCTCTTGTAGAGGTCTGATTTCTTGTACAAATCAGCAAAGTCAACACCTAACATCATTTCTTGAGACGAGGCTGTAACTTCTAACATCCAAGTGGCTGGATTGTAAGCCTCCTTTATCTTACTAACTCCAGGCATAGACTGAAATCAAGATGAAACTAAGATTAATAGTTTGATTATATAAACTAGGAAAAAGAATTCATTTTTTGCTTTGATAACATACCTCAAAGTACTTGATTAAATGGCAAGAATGGTGACCCAGAGGACCAACGTATATCTCTTGTCCTCCTCGTTTCATTAGAAATAGCTGCAAAGCCATGTTTAACTTCAGTATTCGATGGCAAAAGAAAGGGGGAATAAAGATTTGCTTTACTGTCCTGGAAGGTTAATAAACTCACCTCATCAAAAGCTTCGAAAATGTCAATGCTAGGCTGATGAATGGTACAGACAACGGTTCTTCCTGTATCAACGGTGTTCCTAACAGCTCTCATGACAATGGCAGCAGCTCTTGCATCCAGCCCTGAAGTTGGTTCATCCATGAAAATGATAGAGGGGTTTGCTACCAGTTCAACTGCAATGGTTAACCTTTTGCGTTGCTCAGTCGATAGACCGTTGACTCCTGGCAATCCAACTAAGGCTGATCTTAACAGTGTTAGCTCCACAAGTTCCATAACTTCCTCAACAAACATCTGTAGAAAGGTGATCAATCGATAATGTTATTGTCTGCTACGTTGTATAATAGGTTCGACCAATATGTAGGATAGACTAGAGATAGAATTTATAGGAACCAACCTTTCTCTTGTTTTCATCGACATCTTGAGGTAAACGCAGCCAAGCTGAGTAAACCAAGGACTCGTAAACTGTAACATAAGGTGAATGGATATCATTCTGCTCACAGTAACCGGAAACACGTGCAAAGGTTTCTTGCTTCTTGGGATATCCAGAAATCTTGATGCTGCCATCAATATATCCTCCTGTTTTTCTTCCAGCCAAGACATCCATCAATGTCGTTTTACCAGCACCGCTAACTCCCATCAAAGCTGTGAGAACGCCTGGCCTGAAAGATCCACTTACACCCTTGAGAAGTACCAATCTATCTTCAGTTGAACCTTGTCCTTTCATTTCCTGCAAGTCATTAGAATATTCAAGTTTGTTATTCACAGAAAAGAGCAAAAAGCCACATGAATAATATTATCGACACTTTCTGGGAAGGCACCTGAGGCATGTCAACGGAGTATACGATGTCATCAAAGGTGATGGAATGGGGTTCAAATGGAAGAACCATTCCCCTTTTTTTGTTCTGACCCTCACTAACAGAATCACCTCCCTGTGGACTAATTAGTCGAACATTATCAGCATTCTCATTGTCTTCTGATACCATAGCTTGCGGTTTACCAAATGCTGCAGATATATAAGAAATAAGGTATTAACCACCTTTGTAGGAGTCCAGAGGTAAATTCTTTTTCCTGGTCATAGTACACGACATCATTAATTTTTATGTTAGTACATGGCATTTTTCTTTTTCAAGGGGAAAGTAGAGACATCAGAGATACTCACGGTTTAGGTAAGCAAGTCCTAAACTGTAGAAGACGTTGAGGATCATTACGAATCCAATAAGTGCCCCAATGCCTATCCAGTACCAGTATGCATCCGGAAAGAATCCTCGAGCTCTTACTACTGCAGCACCAAGTGGCTCGTTTCCATTTGGCGCGATCTATTTTAATTAAGAGCGGAAATGAGCATCCATATACGAGAAACGTAACTATTTGCGTGCTGCATTAGGAATAAGACACTTACATGTTTCCAATTCTTCCCATCAAATTCATTCACAAGAATTGAATTCATGGAATACATCAATGGTGAGATCCAGTAACCCCAGATCCACCATTTCTTCACATCATCTGCAGCATCACGCAAAATATAAAATAAATATGGTGTCTGATTGAACAAAGGCAGCCAGGTATACAAAGCATCCCGTTCACACAGGGTTCGGGAAAGGGTCGCACCCCAAGAGGGTGTAATGTAGGCGCGTGCAAGCATCCCACGGCTCGAACCCGTAACCTATAGGTCACACGGAGACAACTTGACCGTTGCTCCAAGGCTCCCCCTCGGTGTCTGATTGAACAAAAAAAGAATTTATGCAAACAACATTTAATATACCTCTTGAGAGGATGAATCCACTCAATGCAAATTGTAAGATCAGAGCAAATGCTCCAAATGTACTAGCGACTCCCATTGTTCTCCCCGCTGCTCCAATGAATCGATACAATGCTGATGCCATCTGGTGTACTAGTACGAGAAGAAAGAATTGTTTGAACAATCTGCAAAGCAATAGTCGATTCGATTAATAATCATGAGATGAAAGAAATTACGAAGGCCACCTAAGTATTATTAGTATGTACTGTCTTTTTTCTTCCCTTACCTTGAAACATTCGGATCAAATCCCATGACATAATATGTAAGGAACGTCCAAATTGCAACTTCAACAATTGTTATAGGGATTTTGAGGATCCACGTGGGAAGGGCGTAAGCCCATGAAGGGAAAAAGAGAAGGTCCCTTTGCTTGAAGAAAACTGGAAGCTTGAGAATTGTGAGGTTGATCTCAGCCATTCCGTTAAACATAATCTGAACGACCACGAAAAAGAGAGCACCAGCATATATCCCTCCATCATCCATATCATCTCGGGGCATCTTAGTTCGGAAAAAGACTGTCATCGTTATAAGTGCCATTACCACAAGCTGAGAAAAAAGTACAGAAACAAAGAGATTATTACAATTGAAACATGGTTATGAAAAAGGCAAATATATATATGGATTCGCCACCTAATATTTAAGGTATATCAGGGTACCTATAAACCAAGTCAAGATCAAACACTTACATATATATTTCTAATAGACCAAGTAGTCAGTACCTGAAAGAGCTTGAAGATGTAAACGAATGAGTTCCTCTTCATTAGCAGGAATTCTCGTTCAGCGCAGACTTTCAACAGTTGTTTTGTCCCTATACCATACTTCTGAGTAGACAAAGCAGCAGGGTGGCTTTTGCTCTTGTCATATGGAGTTGCAAGCTCATCGCCAAGTTTCCTTCCAACATGGAAAGACTGATATGCCTCAGCAAATTCTTTTGATGTGACAAACCTATAAGGCTCATCCCTCTTAGCCCAATATTGCTGTTGATCCTTCGTTGATGTTACCTGCAAGAAGTAATTTAAAACTTCCACCTTTTAGAACCTAAATTTAATTCTTATATGTCTAACAGTTAACTATATAAAAGTTTTCTCTATCTAACATATTAAACTTTTATGGTCACACACATACATTAAGTATCATCGCCACCCATAAAAAAGAATCAGACTGGCTCGTGAAGGGACACGTTGAAGACATAATAACTTTATAAAAGCGCGCTCTCTCTGACAGTTTAAACTTATAGATGAGATGGTCTCACACTTCAACATTATAAATTTCTTGGTTATACTTTATTGTAAGACATACCTCTTGCAAGAAATCCGCCACACCTTTTCTCTCGGGGCATTTGAAACCCATGGATTCAAAGAACTCAAGAATGGATTCTCGAGGGCCCTGATACACAATGTAGCCATCTGATAACAGAATAATGTCATCAAACAGGTTGTAAGTCTCGGGGGCTGGCTGCAATAGAGATATCACAGTAGTTCCTTTCAAGAGCTGCACGGATAGTCTTAGAGAATTGACAATGGAGAAAGTAGTTGAACTGTCTAATCCAGTTGAGATTTCATCCATGAAAAGTGCTTTTGCTGGTCCAACAAGCATTTCGCCTGTTGTTACCCGTTTCTTTTGTCCGCCTGAAATACCCCTTAGCATTTCATCTCCCACCTTGGTATCAGCACAAACATCCAGTCCCAAAATCTGCAAATGCAAGTCGATCAGGACACTTAAAAGATAAACCGTTCACAAAACTTGAGATCAGTAATGTGGAAAGTAAGGCAAAATTACATATTACAACCAGAGGCGGATGTAGAGTTGTAATAACGGGTTCAACTGAACCCAGTATTTCCAACGTGAAGCATAAATATGAGTAAATTGTAGTAAATAATAGGTTTGAACCCTGATACAACCCAGGGAGAACCACACCCCAAAAGCTAGCTATTAAGGTGGGAGAGACCAAGGCTATATAAACCTCACATAAGCATATTGCAATACTGATGTGGGATTCAAGTCTCATACCTTGCAATGGACCATAGCAAACCTCCACGCTCCGCAACCGTCGTCCCGACGGCTATGCGCTAAACTTTTCTAGCCCTGGGCGAACACTGCAATACCGGTGTCACCATCCATGGCACGGTGGGCACGGAAGGCGATGGGTGGCTCTGATATCATTGATACAACCCAGGGAGAACTACACCCCAAAAGCTAGTTATTAAGGTAGGAGAGCCCAAGGTTATATAAACCTCACATCAGCACATTGCAATACCGATGCGAGACTCAAGTCTCGTACCTTGCAATGGATCATAACAAACCCATAATTTTAAAAATACAATGGGTTCATGGAAAAAATTCTTTAGAATAGATGAACTCATAGAGCTTAAATCATGCATGCACCTCTGATTAAAACATGTTAAAATACACTGCTAGTGTAAAAATTCTTTACACTGTTAGTATATATAAGTAAAATCCTTATTAAACTCTTTTCAACCCTTTCTATAGACAAAATATAGGAGAAATACTTGAGTATGCTAAATGTTACCTTAAGAACATAATCTGTATAAACATTGGCTTCCTGTCCTTCTGTTGCTGCAGCCTACATTTCCCAAAAACAACAAATAAAAAGTATAAATGTAGATATACAAAAAACTTTAGTACTCCCTTTCATTATTAGTATATTTTGTTTGTATTCTTACCTTCATGTAGATATCAAGATCAGGATCTGGTTTGATATTAGCTTCTTTCTCTCTTCTTGATAATTCAGCCAACATCTCTGCACATATATTCAAGAAAAAAAATTAATAAATGAATATCTATATGTTTTTACTGCAAAAGATAATAATAAATAAACTCACTTAAAAATTGAATTTAATTAAAAAAGCAATAACAAAATACTAACGATATCTAGAGCCAACTCCTTGACATCTTGCAGAGAATTCCAAAGTTTCTCTAACAGTCATTTCTCCAATATGTAAATCATGTTGGCTAATATAAACAGCTGTTCTTTGTGGCACAAATTCATGTAATTCATGTCCATTATATGTCACCTTCCCATTAACCTGATTTCCAAAAAGAAAAAGAAAAAACTTTAGTTTTTTTCTTATTTAAAAACGTTTAACTTCTATAAATTGACAGTGTAAAGAATTTATAGTATCAAGTCACTTTAAAGGTAATTAAGGTAATCATCCTTAATTAGTAAACTGTAAAATAAAGGCTGAATTTAAGATGAATGTCGACCTGGTATATCACCTAACTTTCTACCATCAAACCTCTTTATAACAGTCTCGTATGTTCTGATATTTTTTGGTTGTTATAGAGAATATATGTTATAACATAATATGAAAAATCGGTTCCAAAAAAAGCTGGCCGTTATAGTGAAGTTATGTTATAAAGAATGACTGTTATAGTGACCGTATAGCTGATAATTTCCAAATTAGTTAGAAAGAAGCAATCTTCTATAGTAGGCTTTGTTATACTAATGATTATGTAAAAAATCAACTATATTGTCGGTGGATATAAGATAAATCGTTTATACAATATTTTTATTATAAAATTTATATATGATACTTGAAATTGAAAATATTACCCTTAGAGTAGGATCAAGCTTTCCAGCCAAAGCTAATAAAAATGTAGTTTTTCCAGAGCTTGGAGGTCCCAAAAGCAGAGTTAATCTGCATGGCTTAATCATACCACTTACATCTTTGAGAATTGTAATTTGTCTCTTTTTACTTGGAAGGATGTGAAGAGAATTCAACATTGTCTTTGGAGCAAAAAAGTTGAAAAAACAAAATACACAAAAGTTAGTTTGATAAAATAATAACTCCCTTGCAAATTAAAAAATAGATATATTAAAGAAAATTATTTTTTAATTTATGGTTTAGATTGTTACCTCAAAGAAGTTGGTAATGAAGTTGATAAAAGTAGGCAAAGCTCTGCTTCCAACATATGCATCTGCCTCAATAGTTAGATTCTCATATCTTACTTCTATTGATGGCATATCAATCCCAACTCTGTAAATTTTTCATTATTCCAACAAAAAAAAACAAAAAATTAAATATCAACTAAATAAAAATAGAAAAGGTAAACTCAAGTCATAGTTAGGAAAAGCAAAAAGGCAAAATTTCGACGAACTAAGTTCCCGCTATGCCTAGGACTGAAGAAATGCATCACCTCAGGTCCATTATACATAGTCATATGTTGTATTTCTGTAACAGATTGTTTTCACAGCTTAAAACTCGTGACCTCTGGACACAAAATCTTACCTTGCATTTCTACAAGTGGCTGTTTTCACGTCTTAAACCCCATGAACATTTTGTCATTATGACGACAACTCTTACTGTTGCATCGAGATTCCCAAAAATTGTAAACAAACTAGTATAAGAGCAGCCCGGTGCACTAAGCTCCGGGGTTGCTTAGCCCGGGAACCGGACAGGACGGACCACAAGGGTACGCAGTCTTATACTGTATTTCTGCAAGAAGTTGTTTCTACGGCTCGAATCCGTAACCTCTTGGTCACGTGACATCAACTTTACCAGTTACACCAAGACTCATCTTCTGTAAACAAACTAGTATATATCATCATATCATATCATACTATACTATACTATACTAAAAGTGGGAAGACCTTAAGTTGTAAAGCTGATTTACCCAAATATTCATAAAAATTAAAAGACATTTTTATCCCTCATTGAAACACTATTCCTTTAATATTGTTGTACCAAATAGTAAAATGGCTTTGCTTAAATGAGGAAGTTTAAAAGACTTATGCTAGGGGTTAAATCACAAAATGCAACATATGTGATATTTCACCTAATTTTATTGTTAAGTATTGTTCATTGACAACTGTCATGCAATTTCTTAACATTATTATATATGTTCCTATATACGTGTTATATACTGTATGTTTTTTGATATAAATTATATATCTTACTAGAATAGAGTAGTATGTGATACTATAACACAATATGTTAATTTATTATATTTATATCTGTATTAATTACCTACTATCATTATATACGTCAAATCCAAATATCTTAACATTTGTACATCAAATTCACGCAATCTTATTTTAAAAGAGATTAATAAATGGACTATTATTCCAACCTTATCATTTAGTTTCTTTATGTTTAGTATGTTATACTTTACTAATCCCAAAAGAAAGAAGACAATCTAATAAGCTTGGTAATTGAAGGCAAATTTCAAAAATCACAATAGGACACTTTCTCCTTTAAATTTTATTTTATAACTCAAACATATTATTTTAATAACATATATAGTTTCTTATAATTGTATATATACTCATCTACATAGGGTACACGCGCTAAATATATATATATATATATATATATA